CAGGATAGACCCGGCGCAATAGTCGTGCCGACGACTTGCGTAACGAATGCCGAACTAAAGGCGTTCACATAACTAGAAGCTAAAACTATTGAAGCGCAACTTCGCTTGGGTATGCCGTTTCCTTATTTCCTCTGCTCACTCATCATCTAATTGTTCTTGACGAAAGCCGAATACTTGTTGGCGATGAGGCTTAGATAGTGAGAACATCCTTTGTGAAAAATTAGTTTGCTTGGTGATCCGATATTTACCTTCACTTGCGATCACACAATCGCACGCTCATCTCTTCAACTTGACGACTATCTCTACTGGTGATGGTAATACACTTCCACCAAAAACACATGTTAGTTGATGCGAATACAGAGCTCCCTCCGCTAAGGTATGGGTACATTGGACGACATTACTCATATCTTAACAGAGGTTATAAGTTATCGGCTTATGTGAAGTGTACACAAGAGAACTCGATTATAAAAAGCGGACCTGGTCAACCAAGTCACCCCCACTTATCACTAATATAAAACAGGCTCCGACCCCAAAGTTCAGACGCAGACAGAGATTAAGCTTCAGACTTCTAAGAAAAATTTGACCCGTGCCTAGAGGTGTGAGACATATCGTCAGCTTGTTTTTCTTGTACTAATAGTGATAGCAATATGTAATCTACAGTGTCTTGCCTGTTGATGTACTACTTAGACAGTTGAAGATGTCGCAAAACCGACTTATCAATGATCAGCTTCTTCAAATTAGCAAGTACAAGAATGAGAATCCAGAATTATCTCAGACGGCACTGGCCAAATGGACAACGAAATATTTCGGCCTTGCCAAAACGCTGTCACAGACATCGATCATCAAGATATTTCAAATCGGGATAACCTGGAGACCATGGATCCAAGCAGTCTAAATGCGAAGCGCTAGCGCTGGTGCAACATCCTATACAGGAAGAAGCTTTGGATATTTGAATACTGCAGCGTCAATACCGAAAGGAGATTATCACTGGGGAAATCATTTGCGCGAAGGCCCAGCGACTTTCTCAATCGCTCGAAATCTTACCGACGCCACCACTTTCTCGCACATATGGCTTCATAAAATCCAACATGCCGATGGATCTGACACGCTGCAGCCTGTCTTTATTGAAAAAGCAAAGAAGTCCGGTGATTTAAGAAGAAGAAGTCAGGCCAAGCACTTGTACTTTCTTACCGAATCAAAACACAAAGGCTTAGATGACGGGCGTGATCTTCCAGGAATGGCTTTCAAGTGTGGGTAGAACAATGAAGGTGCGTGGTCAGCTAAAACAAATGGCTTCTATTCACTATTGATTATTATATTATATTTTGATCAAAGCACACACAAAAAACCTTTTTTTGCTCGACAATGCTCCGTCGCATATCACAGATGGCCTAAAATTTACAGATTTAAGGTACAGCTGCTTCCCCCAAATACGACATCCAAGATTCAGCCGATGGATGCCGGCATCATCGCAGCATATTAAGCGGCGATATTGCCGCTACCATCTGCAAAATGCGATCAATTGAGACGAGCGTGAGGAGGCCGGAAACATGTATAATGTCGACCAAATTACTGCCACGCGCTGGTCGGTGTCTGCCTGGATAGAGATCTCGACCATTACCATTGCCAACTGCTTTAATCACATGGGGCTGTTTTTAAATCCTTCCGTCATTTAACTGCTGTAGATGTATAGAGAGACAGTGATGGCGCGAAGGAGGTTGAGAAGACGGAACTTGAGCTGGAGCAGATTTTGAGAGACCAGATAGAGCAACTGCGTGTCCGGGATCCCATGACGATTTCGAAGCTTCTCCATCCCATCGATGAAGAATGAGACTGTTCAGCCGGAGATGATCGAGAACGAAAGTTTAGAAGAGGTAAAGGAGGAACAGGAGGAGGGTGAAAACAGTGATGACGTGGCCATTGCCGCAGACATTTCACCCGAACCGAAAAGACCAATTTCCCTTATGATCATGCTCCTTGCTCCATGTATCCCAGGAAAGTCACCAAGCTGCTTATAAAGTCCTCCGCGACCCTCAACTTGACATTCGCGACGCACCCACCACCCAAACTACCCTCGACATGTGGCTAAAGTAGAATTTTTCGTCCAAAATACAAAAAAATACTACATTTATAGAGTTATATTACCTGCCTGATTATAACTTAGCGACGAGCTCGGTGGACACAAAATTTGATAACCTACCGGAGATTATAATTTATCGAAGGATAACTTATTGGAGGGAGGTCTGTATTGTTAAACGTCGATGAGATGTCAGTAACAAGAAGTCGTTAGTCACAAGGTTGATCATCTGCTGACATTTTGCATTTGTAGACGCAAAAAGCTTGTTCTGATTTTTCTTGATCCATCAGTTGCTGGAAGACCCAGTCTTAAGCCCTATGTTATTAACCCATTGAACACATAGATCTCTGCACAGCTGTTCGTCACTCCAAGACGGTTGCCACCCAGCCCAAATCGTATCTCTATGGCGATGGCAAGCTGTAAGTTTGGTCACACGCGCCTCTTACGCTAGAGTGCATTCCAGCTGGTTTATCCAGCTAAAGCCACCTGCTTTGTCTTGGGTCCCAGCAAAACCCATGTAGCTGTACGGCAGACTGTCAGAAGCAACCGTCTGCTGCAACTACACAGAATTCCGACCAAGAACACAACCAGAGACCACTTGTCAAAGTTGCAGCTGAAAAATACGACCCCCATTACCCTCAAGCGAGAAGGTGCTTGGCGGAACATCTCGGTCGTGCAGCAAAGAACTGACATCGTCTATGGACGTCAAGATGGATTTTCAAAACTACCACACACCCAGTGACAACGAAGCTGATGTAATTCCGTCAAATACAATACAAGATATTGAAAACTCGGTCGTTGAAAATGGCGCTGACCAGTTACTGTACAATGATGAAATCTACGGAAGTCTCCGCAAAGGAGGCGCCGTAACGTTCTTTTCGAAGGATTGTGTCGGTCTCGTAGCGGCCACGTTCGCGTCGGCTTCTTCGGTCGAGTGCCTCAGATGCGTGATCAAGCCTATGTTAAATGAGCATTTCAGCTTGAGTTCTACCAAGTTGGCAGCTTCAAAACGACTGGCATCGATTCCTATGGCGTTCTGCTTCTTTTTCGGGTTACTATCGGATTGCTACCCTATCCTGGGATTCCGACGGAAAGGGTACTTGATCATCGGTTTGGGGACAACAGTAATGAGCCTCTTGGTCCTCGCAGCATTGGACGCATATGTCGAAACCCTTCATGGTAGCACTGGGGGGACCGGCTTAGCCGTGGCTGTCATTATGTTCGCAACCTTGGCCAGTACCGGAAACATGATGACACATATGTGCGTACATACCCGAGTGCTCGAGCTGTCTCAGCGTGAAAGACTGGGCACGCGCGGCGCTATCGTAGCGACTTATTCCATGTTTCAAAGCGTAGTTTTTTTCATCACCAACGCTTGTGTGTACGCTCTTGAGAAGAGCTCGGCACACCATAATGTCGTGCTCCTTGTATACGGCCTCGTGATTGGGGTCTCGATTCCGCTGGTGTGGAAATCTTGGCAGGAAAAATACTACTCGCTTTCGACGCCGATGAGGACTCGTGGTCAAATCCTGTGGAAGGTCATGCAGCAGAAAGCAGTGTGGAGCATTATCGCGTTTATATGTATCTTCACCTTGTTCGGCAGTTTTGCGTTAAGCGGTCCTTCGGCGACCATCATCTTTTGGTCGGGTGCTAACGAGAACGACCAATTGGTGCAGCAATTCCTGTACTACGGAGCGATACTGTTGACGATTGCAGTGTGGCGCTACTACTTTATGAACCGACCCTGGCGCACGCTCTTCGCAATGTCCACCGTTTTGCTCATCGTTCCTCAAGTGATTGTGGCTATTTGTGTCACTCAAAACATTGTACGCGATCGAAACTTCTACCGCTTTATGACGCTGTTCTCGAGTATCTCAACCGGCATTGGTTGGCTATCGAGCATTATTCCGCTGACGGAGATCATCCAAGAAGGCTCGGAGGGTGCCATGGTCGGACTGATTTTGTCAATGTACTTTTTGGTTTCCATGTTCGTAGAGACTAACGCAACCGGGCTGTTTAAAGGCACCAACTTTTACAATGCCACAGATGTTATATCCGATAATGCGGAAGGGCGATCGGACATACTAAAGGCATTGCTTTTCATCTATGGCATTAACGCCCTCCAACTCGTTGGTCTCTTTTTTCTGCCGCGACAAAAGCTCGATACCCAGCAGCTTCGCAGTTACGGTGGGTACACCAAGAGTGCCAGTGCTGCTATCGTCACGTTCGCATTGTTGCTTTTTGTGTACTCAGTGGTTGTCACTGGACTTACGTTGAATCCATCGACATCTCACTTGAGTATTGCTGGTGGAGGCATCTACTAAGCTCCATCAATATAGTTGTGTTGTGATAGATAAGTCGTTTTGAGCCTTCGATTGCTTGTGCTTTTATTCACTTCGTCGACAACCTGGATGCAAGAAAGCTATTAGATAGATGTATCGGAAAGAAGAATACGTTATCCTCAACTCTAACAAAAGCTGCAAACGAGCTTGAACATCAAAGCACCGAAAGAAGCTCAACAAACGCGTAGTTATAGCACTGACATTGTTCAACTTTCTTCAAAGTACCTACTCGAAGAAAAAGAATGGATATCGAGCTACAAAAATCTGAAAGAGGTTCATGAAGATGAACAGTACTCTACAAAAGAAAAAAGCTGGGACGGTTGATCGGAGATCGAAGCGACAACAATGACTTACACCATTGTGCCCATTGAGAAGCAAACGATGTATTTCTTGCACCTTTACGCTCTACGACCAGCTCATTGATCAAATCGGCAGTATGTGCATACTTCCAACATGAGAACTACTTAACAAAGCTTGGGTTTCAATGGCCAAGTGGTGGTAGACCTCGACTTTTCGGACAACTTCTCTTTAGCGTGCATATGTGTACATGTATTATCGTTCGAAATGTCTACGGGCTGCTTTCAAAATTGGGACGACATGGCGCAATGTTTAGCGTCGAGTGGTGCCGGCTTGAGCAAATGAAAGCGATCAAAGTCAACACACAGACCTCTTGAAGTTTTGACCACACAACGTTCGAAAGTAGCATCCCATGCAATGTTTTCGTCAGTGTATGAGTTGCGCGCCTGCATTGTATTGGATGTTGAGCTGTCGATACCTTCCAGAATCACGACAACCTCAAGTCCGCTTTTACGAAGATGCTTCATGATTTGTGCTTTTGTAGGCTCTTTGTATACCTTTGGATCGCCGGGCAAACCGCCATCACGACTTCCATTGTCAATGTCCACCTGACGCTGTGTAGGATCCGGGTAGCTTGCGCAAATCTTCGAGTCTCCACCGTCACGTGGTAGACATTCGGGCGGAAACAGAGGACTCCACTGGTCAATACGATGCACAACAACTTGCGGCAGCACCATGAGTAGCATCGCACCGCAATCATCGTCGGGCTGCTGAATTCGCATCTGGTGACATTGGAAAAGGAAGTCGCTAGGCTCATTCGCGTCATCTTCTGCCTCGTACCGTACAGCGTATAGACGAACGTGTGCCTCCACGAGTTGATGTTTTCGTCGTTCACATGTCTGAAACATGAAATAGTAGTGTCCACGGATCTTACGAATCACTGCCGAGTTTGAAAACATGATAGTATTCGCTCGTTGCTATGGCAAGAAAAGATAAGGTAAGTGTTTAGCTGCAAAGGTTGCCAGAGCCAGAGACGTACATTAGCACGGGAAAAACGCGCGTAGAAAATACCAATACAAACTGAATCTAGAATTATACCAGCAAAAGACTACCACAAAAAAAGCAACAAACGTCAGCTACGCCAGCACACAACATATAAACAATCTCAACACCTATTTACCCACCTCAAGAGTCAGTAACGTTGCAATGGATGTGCATCCTCCATAGAAAATGTCATCCGTAGGTGCACCGTAACCAATTGTCATCTAATTAACACGAAAAACTCAATAAGTTAATAACACTGTAACCACAAGATACACAAATGGATATAGCTACAAAAAACGAACAATGGTCTCAAGTGAAAAGATGTAGGCGTCCATAATGCTCGAAAGTCCTAAATGACACGCCGGATATCGCAGTGACACGTCCAAATATGCCACTGCAAAGAAAAAAATGATGAAGAAATACTACGACAAGGTTTAGTATAAAAACAAATGTTTAGTAAGGAATTAAAAAAAGTTCGAGTCGTTTACAAGAAAATTATATCACTTACAGTGAGGAAAACACCCGAAATAATCCTCGATGTGCGTGTATTGATCACCGTATGGAACGGATCATCCCAATATATTTTACGCCAGTTGCCACCTTTTCGATAAACACTGCAAGGACACAAAAGATAGTAACAACTTTTGTCAAAATAATATCTACTGTGAAGTAACCCTAAGAGAACCATATATTTCTACGTACTTAAAGCGACCAAGAGACTGTTTATAACGCCCGCAACGGTCGAGAAAACGCGTACGTTGCGTTGATTGTGTCTGTCTTGGCGTAGAGCCAGTGCTAGAGGACACGGAGAGTAATGGCTGCTCGACACCAGCCATGTTTTTTTTGGTATCTCGAAAATATCCCACGGTTTTTGACGGTTTAAAAGATACTTTTTATTGCGTTTTTCAAACTGATGATACAGAATTGATGCAATGAAGACGATAACTAAAGTCAAGAATATATACAGCCTGGAGAGTTTTTGACGTCCACCCGTTACAGAATGAGAGGTTGAAACCCCTGATATTTATCAGATGGTGAGGATAGATATACCGAGAATGACATGGCTACAGAATGAGCTACAAAAATAGGTCAATTTGACAAACACACTACATTATATAGTGCATAATTATTGTCGTTCATAATATTTTATATAGATCGAAATTATAATGGGTAAGATCATCAGTTTCCGAAAAGCTCTTTTAAAAAAAGTACAGAGATAATTTAGAGTAGACACAATATAAGCACAAAGGGCGTGCTCATTTAGTCGCACCAATCATCCACCAAATGACGTCCGCCCGCTTGGTGTACGTGCTGTCCCCCGCCAAGACACTGAACTTTACGACCTCCTGCATCTCACAATGCACCCAACCACGTCAGCTCTCTCACACACACGAGTTAGTTGAGCAGCTGCGCACATTGTCACACACCAAGATCAAGTCGTTATTTGGGGTAAGTGACGCCTTGGCCAAGCTCAATGTTGACCGATATCAAGTGTTTGATACGTCAAAATCGGCAACTGAAGCTTCAAACCCTAGTGAAACTCTAAAACAGGCCGTGCTGGCCTTTAGTGGTCCAGCGTATCAGGGGTTGGGGGCGTATAATCTATCGAAGCTGGACGTTGAATACGCCCAGACCCATCTTCGTATTTTTTGCGGTCTTTATGGGATACTGAGACCACTAGACTTAATTCAGCCCTATCGATTGGAAATGGGTCAAAAACTTGCCAATAGCAGAGGAAAAGATCTGTACGAGTTCTGGGGGGACACTATTGTATACGAACTGGATGCTTTATTCAGTGAAGAAGAAGCCAAAGAAAACGTCAAGCTGCCACGGGTGTTGGTCAATGTCGCTTCACAAGAATATTTCAAGAGTTTGCCCCAATCCGCTTTGAAAGCAGCGGGGATAATGGTGGTCACTTGTGTCTTTAAAGACGACGGGAAAATCAAGTCGGTGTACGCCAAACGCGCCCGAGGGCTCATGTGCAGATACCTAATTCAGAAACGAGTGGACTCGTTAGAAGGTATTGCAGGTTTTGATTTGGAAGGATACAAGTACGCGAGCACCGCTTCGAGTGACGACACTTATGTGTTTGCTCGTACTGGTGCAGAACAAAAGCTGTGTCTGCAACAGACAAACAACGTGAATGCAATGTCAAGTGTAAAAGCAAAGCGAAGGGTCAAAAATTCGGCTCGAAGTCAGTCAGTGGTTGAGGTTGAAATTGAAAACGATCAAGATCGATCTCAACTACGTCGTTCCACACGCAAGAAGCGCAAGACAAAGTGATGGAGACTGAATTCTATAAAGCCTAAATATTTTGAATACAGGGGTACCCTCCTACAATAATTCTACTCGACTCTATCAGACTTGGCTCCACTGCCGGCCTCGGACGGGCCGGGTCTGACAACGGTCAATACCGCTGCCAATGTTGTTAGGTGTAAACCTCTACCTAGACAAGTCATGATGTCCCAAAGTAGCCGCAATACAAACCATAGTTTCAAATCAAGACAATGCAGTAGTTTGAGATTGAAACGTTGTGGTGAATTAGTACTTGAGAGTCAGAAGCTGCAAATAAAGTTAAATTTAACTGATACTGTAGGTAAGGAATACGATGAGATACAGAACTAATGCAAGGCCAAAGTTTTGTACCCGAGATCTCGACTCAATGCTGTGGATACATACACGAATCGAGTCGTATAGGCTCATAAGCACAGTAACATCTAGGGAGAATGCTAGTTGCTCAAATAAACAGCCACTACCCTTAAAGAACGCTGAATAGGTGATGTTAGGGAATGTTTCCATAAAGATCACCAGATTCACCAAATAGTTAGCCTTGCATTGGCACTTCTGTCCAGAATCAGAATACATTAGTTTTAGATGGGCCCAAATTTGCATGGACCACAAACTCTAAGCTGACAGGAAAGTCACCTAGGTCCACGGCAAAACGATTTAGCCACAGCATCAAAAAAGTGCATGATCAAGTCTCGTGTGTTGCGCTCAGTCATTCTTTCTTGCAGTCATTCTACTGTGAACTTTCCTCGGCAGTAACATATTCCCAGAATTCGAAATCTCATATACATTGCCAGAATCTAAATCGGTCACTGTCATGGATGTTAACGGCACGACATGAGACGTTTTCGTCACAATAGTACTCGGTGAAGTTCTAGAGCTCAATGCGGCAAAACCATTGCCTATTTTTGAGTATCCAAGCTTCAGTCGACGACGATGTGCGTTACGAAGCTTCATCAATACCGGGTGGTTGCACAACTCCAGCACTTCGCAAACACTCGTGACCAGATCTTCGGGCGACAGAAGAGCTAATGAACGTCCCACGGCTGCACTCACCTGCTCGGCGCTGCTACTAACAGCATCGCCGCATTCAGCTAATGAGAGGACATCATTTTCAGCAGCACTACATAGCGCCAACGCTACACAAAACATGCCTTCGAGCCCCAACAAAAGGCACACATCCCAACAACACATTAGTGTGTCAAAGCGCAGCTGGGAGTGCGATGCTGTCAACGTCACATCCGAAAAAAGCGTAGGAAACCACTTGTACGCCAGCAAACATACGGGCAATCCAGCTTGCTCAAGTGCTGTGTGAAAACTAGGCAGATGCAGCCGTGTCACTTCCTGTAAAACATCACCAACCTCAACAAGCGAACTGAAAAGGTCGAAATGATCGCGTCCAGTGCCATCACAGCAAATGCCAAACACGTGCGGTAAAACCCGAGCTACAATGCCACGAAGAAACCGAAAGGCTTCAATTTCATCGCTTCCCAATATTTCCAACAAGATAAATGCAAGTCCATTCATTCCCTGCATATAAAAACTGGGAGGCGGTCGAGACAATCCTGCAGACGAAAGCGAAAGCGGAGCTTCATCGGTTCGCACATCTAATGAGCAGCTTGACAAGAAGGCATGCAACACATGCCCCAAGCGTTCCAATCGAACAGCACGTTCACCATCATCGAGTTTCGGTGCACCTGCCGATCCCGCCAGCCATTTTGCAGTACGAGGAATATCTTTTTGCACTTGCAAATCGTCTCTGGAGTGTAGATATAGCAGAAAACAGCTTAGCAATTATCCAGAAAATCAGTAGAACCACAAGACGTACTCTTCGGAAAGAGGTGTACTAATCAGCTGCTGGAAATGTTCCACATTCTCTTCAATACTACAGGCAGGAGCGAGAGCCCATTGAAAAATCTGCTGCCAGTACTTGGAACGAAGTACTGTATTTTTCTGCATCAATTGAAGAGCTTCTATGAACCGTCCACTAGATTGCAAGACTCGCAGCATTTCCGTGAGCTCACCATCCGGTAAATATGCGGCCAATTGGGTCGCGCTTATCCAGTCCTCATCCGATGGTAGCAATGACGTAGCATTGAGTGGATTTGCTCCTACTTTCTCATCCTTTGCCGCGTCTTTATTTTCATAATATGTCACATCTTGACCATCTTCCATCCCTTCAAATGCATGCTCACGATGCCTCATATTCATGGAACTCTGCAGCTGTAGGGCATCCAAGTCAAAAGACCCTCCAGGCACTAATCCTTCAGCTATTGTAATAGCACGTTGCACTGCATCTGTCCAAGCTCTTCGATCTGATTCGGATCTTGCATGGAATAACATGGAATGGGTATCCACTGTTACCATAAAACAGTACTTGCGATCCGACACCAGTTCGTGTACCGGTTTGACGGAGCTGCCACTACTTAGCATCAGTACGCGTTTGGTTTTACTGTGACTTTTACCGGTATTACCAGTTTTTCTGTTAGTTCCAATACTCATCGGTGTTTTAACTTGTAACTGACAAGTTAATAAATCACCTGATAAATCTACAAGTTGCTCTTTCCAATTCATCCGACTTGATTTCCGATACCTCGCCAACGACTTGAACTGCGTCAATGGACTTGTGTACAATTTCGCACGTAAAACACCACATTTCGCTGGAGATTTCAAAAACCGTAGCGATACCGGCAAAGGTCCGATTACCTCCAACAACAACTTTTTCACTTCAGCTGACGTCAAAGTTTGCAAAGAAACGCCATTGGCACTCACTAGTAATGATCCTCTTGGTATATGCATACCGGCTACTGTCACACTCTGGGACGTCTTGACGCAGCAGTCATGTACCCATTCGTATACTGAGCTCAGAAGCGCCATATCTGCTCGTTGAGGCATTTTTACTTCCAGGAAGTCACTATCTGTCAGTGTTTCCATCCTCGAGTCGCTGTCTTGACCACCCCAATCCATAGGACTCGATGATCGTCGTGGGATCGTCATCTTCAGCGCGGCTGATCGTAGTGCAGCCATCCATTGATGTACATCTTCAGCTTGACGTGACCTAAGAATCAATTTGATTGCACCAGAACTTGAAGTTGATAATGATGACGCAATGTCTGATATAATCGTCACTTGAAACGCATTGTGCTTTCCCACGACAGGAAAAGGCAACGTTTTCACAACTGCTCCTCGGACATTCAGTTCTCGACACATCGTCATCCCACTATTACTATTGCTACGATCAGGTGACGACGTGGACGAATTGGACGACGCCCTAGACAACGCTCGACTTGTACGAGATAGCAACTCTTCCTTGCTCACGTCAGATGAATATTCACGCAACAATCCACTTGTCTCAGATAGCACAAAGTAGCGCTTGTGCCAGCCTCGCAACAGCTTGCTGCGGCCGTCCCGTGTATATAGCACGCCCTCCATTCTTCGACAGAAACTGATAGGTGTAAAACTATTTAACGAATCGACGAGCAGATTAGAAAGTAGCACTATCATTGGTGGAAAGATAATATACTTATAGCCAATGACAAAGCTCTGAGTTGCATAGCCACTCGTTCGTGGCCATTAGCTCAGTTGTCTTGTTCTGCTGCTACACTTTACTTGTGTGCCTACTGCTTCTGCACGTTGCAACTATGGAGAACGCTGCGTCTCGTTTCGGTCAGCACCTTGCGCATACAGGTACACGTTGATTGGACATTATTGTATTTTTATATTCGTTTCTTACATGAATACGTCAATTATATTTATGATCGGTAATTTATTATTGCAAAATCATTTTTAAAACAGAAAAAAAGTATCGTGACCGTGCTTTAAAAAAATTGACAGTGTACTTAACAAAGAAGAAAGAGTGGACGAATCTGGAATGGGACAAGCTATGGAAAGCGCTGTTCTACTGCATGTGGATGAGCGATAAGCGACCTGTTCAGGAAGAACTTTCCTCCAATTTGGCTGCACTAGTGCACCACATCCCTAGCACCGAATCGGCGCTGGCGTTCGTGCGCTCTTTTTTTCGGACCATGCAAAGGGAGTGGCACGGACTGGACGGTCTTCGTCTGGACAAGTTTTATTCGCTCGTACGCAAGTTTGTGCGTGAGGCAGTGGCGTTGCTTCGTGTGCAGGACTGGAACGAGACGTTGGTGCAAGAGCTTGCTGATATCTTGTCGACTGAGGTTGTGAGTCAATTGCCCAACGGACCACGTATGCACTTGGCCGATCTGTACTTGACGGAAATCTACAATGCCGCGGGCAAGGATATTGTGTCGGAGGCTTTTGTGACATTGCTGGAGCCGTTCTTTACATTGTTAAACAGCGAGTATGATAAGACGGTGTTTAAGCGTGTGCGGGAGTTGGTGTTTGACGAGATACTGAGCAAGTATAAGTTTGGACCTCAGACGAAGACAGGCGAGGAAGAAGAAAAAGAGGAGACGGATATGGAAGAGGACGAGGAGGAAGAGCACAAGGTGTTCGAAAAGGTGGAGTTGGCGCTGGTGCAGCATCGCATCTTTGCCATTGCATCAGCGGACGCTACGATCGAACGCAACCGCTCAGCGCTCTACACGTTGTACAAGAAATTTTTTGCTATTACGCGCGTCGACTCTTTCCAGGCTGCGCAGAAAGAGGCTGATAAGCCTAAGAAAAAGACTGTGAAAATCGAGAAGAAGCATAAGGAAGAGAACTCGGCCGCTATCGAAACTATAAAGAAATTTGCGAAGAACGAGAAGGCTTGTGCTAAGAATGTGCAATTGAAGAAGCGAAGGATTCAGACGGAAGCCAAGGTGGATGCAGAGGCTGAGATCAAGAAGATTGAATTCGTGAAGGAGGAAAAGGAGGAGGCAGCTTCCCCGAAAAAGAAAGCAACAAAGCAGAAGATTGCGATGGAGACGAAGGTTGAGAAAATCGAAATGATGAAGTTACCTGCTGAGATCAAAAAGGGTAAGAAGAAACAGAAGATGGTGAAGCTGGAGGTGAAGGAAATGGAGACGAAGCTGGTGGAGAAGGAATCTTCTACATCTGTAAAGGACAAGAAATCGGCAAAGGAGCAGACTAAACTGAAGAAGGAAAATTTTGAAACGAAGAAGGAGCCTGACGTGACGGTAACTACGAGCGGTAAGAAATTTAAGCGTTGTGGCTCGTGTGGCGGCTATGGCAAGAATTTGGTGCCGAACGACAAGAACCTCTGTGGCCACTGCGAACACATTCGAAAGGCAGGAAAGAAGAAGGCAGCGTCGGCTTCGAAGAAGCGGAAGGCCGAGTCACAGGCTCAGGCTACACGAGAAGAGAAGGAGAATGCAGAGTCGAACAAGAAAGTCACGTTTGGCAAGAGTAAGGCTTTGCCACACACTGTGTCGATTAAGCGACTCAAAGCCTCAGCTAAGCGAATTGCGGTGTCGAGGAATATGGACAATTTCAAGGGCGTACTGAAGATGACTACACAGTTGCCAGTTCCATTGAAGAAGTTGAAAACGAAAAAGATGAGCAAGGGACGGAAAGCAGCTGTGGAATTGTTTTAGAAACAAGTAGCTCTGTCTTGGAAGCAGTATTCGTGCTCGCTGTATAGTTGAGGCATGGTGGTTATAAAAAGACAAGGGACATCCATCACTATTCTCTTGCACTGAACAAATTGAACAGTTTTGCATTGTTTGTTTGCTCGGCATTGTCGATGAAATGTATTGAATGGCCAGCCCCATTTTTTTGAGTAACAACGTTTTACTTCTTTTTAGTCCTTTTTAGTCGTTGTCAAAAATTACAGCAACTTTGTAGTAGATAGTACTACACCCAAAAGTATTAATATCTTTCGATACTATTTTCAGACTTCAGAAAGAGTGATGGTCCTTCAAGCTCTTTTTTTTCTCAGACAGATACAGATGAAATTAGCGAAAATAACAGGTTTTGCAAGGGATGGGTTTATTTCATGATGTATACTTTCCTTCAGTCATGAATATGCTGCGCTTTTCCCGTGTAGGTCGAGCAGCTACTGCGTATGCTATTGTGTATACATGTATGATACCTGAGACAACAGGTTACAAGATGTTTCAACGAAAGCTTCCAAATGGAGCAAATGTTCCAGGGTTCGATGCAATTGGTCACGTGCAAGTCGGTGGCGGTCCGATTAACGACTTTGGACTGGACTTTAAGGAAGCGGAATTTATGTGGACCACCACATTTTGTGAAAAGGACTCGGACGGTGATGGACAAACAAACGGACAGGAACTTGGGGATCCGTGCTGTGAATTTGTACAGCGGAAGAATGAAAAGGTTCGATGGACAGAGGGAGTGTCACACCCCGGGGATTTGAAGCTGAAGGCAGACCCGGCGCTGTGGGAAGGTATTGTCTGCGGGGTTGAAGCAAACGCTGAAGTGGTAGCAAAGGAGGAGGACACTGAAGTAGCAGCGAAGGTAGAGCCCACTGAAGTTGCAGCAAAGGAAGAGACAACTGAAGTAGCAGCAATGGAAGAGATTACTGAAGTAGCGAGTGTAGAAGATACACAGAATACGGTGGTGGACGTAGCGGTGCAGAGTAAAAAAGAGACACTACAAGAGAAGCCAATGACTTCCGAATTGCCGACGATGTATACGTCAGTGATGCTGTCAGCTGCATTGCTGATGGTGATGGTGATCTATATGGTAGTCATGTGGATGAAGCGTCGGTCGTCGTACAACTTGCCGATCTTTCGTCAGCAAAGGAGACAATCGGTGACGAGAAGATGAATAGATGAATAGATGAGTGTCAAAATGACTGGTACTATTTGTACTTACAGGCATAGTGACGTAGAGCATTACACTGTTAAAAGATAGGTGATTTGAAGCAAGGCGGGAAATTTTTGGAGCTGTGGGCGGGAATGACTTGTGTTTGTTCATGGGCAACGAATGACTGACGTTTTGTCCTAACATGTTATAACGTGTTTTGCGCTATCAGATGCAGAGAAATGTGTTAAGCAGTGAAAACGATATCTCCGGGGATGTCGCTATCTTTGCGCTGTCGCAGTTCTCCCAGAGACGAAGTGTCGGACGTGACGGCAGCGCACCTCCGGATCCGGTACTGGATGGTCTCACGAACGAGCTTGGCTGGGACATGATCGATGCCGATTCGTTTGGATCGTAAAGTCTGGATGGCCTGGAGATTTGTGCTGTGATTTTTGCACGAGACGACCCCAGAGTTTGCTGGACGGAGATATCTCACGTATTGGAGATGCTCCTGGGTCAAGGTTTCGTGTCAAGAGACGGAAGGCGTTAATGACAATGCAGATGAAGAGAGGATGCTACTTAGAACGAGGTAATTGAGGGGTGGTGCCTTGTCTCGTAGAATTTGCTCTCAGTTAAGGTGTTCTCGGCCATATTAGCCATGAGACGGAGCGGTCAGTAGACGCTAGCAAGGACGACACATACGAGATCGCGCACTGTATATTGGCGCAGATAATTACAATGGAAGAAACAAAGGCTGCAACGAAAACAATTCAGGCCTTCCAGTAATCTAGCAAAGATGTGTCGTCAGAGTGTCCCTATAGGTTTTTGTGCATGGACGCACCGCAATCTACGGCAAAATCACTCGCTACTTGACTTAATGGCCATTTTTTAAAATTTATCGAAACGACGACGTTAATCACACGTCCTTACAATACCCTGTCGTTTCAGCTTAAACGCAATGCGTTACGTACTTGATCGCCACTAGATCACATTAGCAAACAACGTAGCTCGTGTAGGTAACAAACGTTGCACCTTGCCTCCAGGTAAAGCTTCAGCTTTTCGCAACTCCGCAACTTTTATATACCTCTAACTCTACGTAGATGCCGCATTGCAAACGCATCATCCTCATTGAACGATTACATAGACTGCCTTGTCAACAGCAGCACCACTCAAGACCAGTCGGTCGCATAAAGTATCTATCTCAGAGGTGCCATGCCCTCTCGGATATATACTATATTTGTTACGTATGCTAGGGATCTGATCTCTATAGCCTGATCATAGCACAGAGCTTCTACTATAATCTCCCTCTCCTAGTTGTCAGTCCTCAAAGTCGTCAGTCTGTCCCAGCCAGTTAATGGCAGCACACGCAGAAGCCCTGCTGTACTCACTCCATGGCCAGTTCATTTCACGATTAAATCGCTAAAGCTCATCGATAGTCGCGCGTCGTGCTGGCGATAACGCAGTTGATACTTTTAAAACCTTTACACCTGGTTGCTCTAGGTCTGTCACCATGTCTGTCTCCAATCACGATCACAGGATGGTGGTGCCCCAGCTACCCCCGGCCTTCAACACGTTCAACTCGTCGCAGGACTTCAATACGAGCGGTATCTCGTTCGATGACGAGGGCGGCCGCTTTGTGGCGGGGGAGCAATTTTACAACCACGAAAAGTACGGGAGTCTCCGCAAAGGAGGTGCTGTAGCCTTTCTGTCTATGGAATGCCTGGGTCTCGTAGCTGCTACTTTTACTTCCGTGTTGTCGTACCAAGCTCTGCTCGTGCTAGTGCAGCCAATGTACAAGACCCAGTTGAGCCTAAGCTCGACGGAGATTATTGCTGTCGAGCGATTAATCAAGATGCCTATGGTGCTGAGTTTCCTGGTCGGTCTCCTGTCCGACTGCTACCCGATCATGGGTCTACGTCGTAAAGGTTACATGATCCTCGGGTGTGTCATTAATGCCGCCGCAGTGTTTGCTATCGCCGGTGTAAGTGCATATCTTGGTAATGATGCGACCGCTAGTGAAGATCTGGTGGTGCTCGCGCTCGTTCTAGTTGCTCTGGCTAGAATCGGCTGCATCATCACCTACGTGTGCGTCCAAACTCGACTAGTCGAGTATTCCCAGCGCGAATCTCTGCGTGACCGCGGTGTAATTCAAGTGTCGTATTTGATCTTCCGTCGCGTTGTGTCTATCTTCACGTCGATGTTGTCGTTTCTAGCTTTAGGCACAAATTCGGAGCCAAACATTTCGATATCGACAGCTTTGATCATCCTCGGAGTGACCTCGATCCTACCGTTGCCGCTTGTTTTCCGCTACTGGAACGACGAAGCGCACTCGTTCAACGCGTCCATGACGATTCGCTATCAAACTTTGTGGAAGATCATGCAGCAGAAGGCTGTGTGGCGGATACTCGCCTTCATTTGTTTTTTTACGTTGTTCTTAGGCATCAAGTTTAGCGACTCGATGGGTGTCATTAGCAAGTGGGCAGGTGCCAATCAGGACAACTCGCTTCTTGTAAAAACTATCGAAGACTTTGTGATGATCGGCACTGTGCTCGTATGGCGCTGCGTGTTCATCAACCGTCTGTGGCCTACTTTCTTTGCGTTGGCGCCTGCTTTCCAGATTTTACCCAACCTTTTCGTGTCACTAATGGTAGCGCTCGACGTAGTGCGTAACCGCTACTTCTACCGAATTTTCCAGACCGTGACGTACGTCGCGGATGGTATTGGTCTATTAAATTCGATTGTACCCGTGACGGAGATTGCTCAAGAGGGCTCCGAAGGTACTTTGGTGGGTCTCACACTCACTTTGCAACATTGCGTGAACACTTTCATCGCCTCAAATGTTCACGGTCCTTTTCACGGATCCAACTATTACAGCACGGCCGCAGTAGCCTCTGACACGTCGGACGCGCGTTGGGATGTATTGTTGTCACTGTTCCTTAACTTCGCGTTGAATGCTTTGGCTTGGGCTGGACTCTTTTTCCTCCCTTCTCAGAAGCTGGACGCGCAGCAGCTACGAATGTACGGCGGGTTTACAAAGGGTGCCAGTGGTGGAATCCTCGCCTTTGGTCTGGTACTGTTTATCTATTCGTTAGTGGTATCCCTCATGACGCTCATCCCGTCCACCTCGTGTGTCACCTTTGTCGGTGGCACCGGCTGCTAGCTACTAGGTATTTATAGGAAAGACTACGATAGAACTATTGCAAAGAATGAAGACGACAGATGTAAGCTTGTTCCTGCGCCGTCTAAGAAGTTGTATGCTAAATGTAAGTTGGTAGAGTAACCTGATCTAGATGGCCATCGTTGATGACAGTATAATGCTCTGTCCTAGACATTGTAAAAGCTGCTAAAAAGCGTGGAAAAGATCGATGATGCGTAGAGTCATGAAGATCTTTTCCTCACGCATGTATGTTGCTTCGTACTAGTTTGTGGCCAGCTTGACTATGCTTGTGGCATGCCGGCTAAGGTAATAGTCGTCCAGATAGCACAGTGGTCTTAGACATGGCGGTTGACGTTCGTGTCGGACCGCACTTCTGATTATACGTGTTTGCACTCGTTGGAGCTAAGTACTGCCGATCATCTGCAAACGGGCGAACAGACCGAGCGCACGAATCGCGAGTTTGTCAGCTAAAGGCCAGACGTCATCATCAAGCCGAAGCGAAGACCTTGTATACCTTGTGCCGGCAGCTTCATACTAGGGTGCAGTCCGACAACAATAACTTCGCACCAAAAGCATTAAAAGCTAGCTGAGCAGGGGTCAGACTAGTTTGACGTCCAGTTGAAGCTAATTCGACACCTCAAGTTGTAGCGACATCTACGACTTCCTTGGTTTAAAACTAAATTGCGTGTATTCTTCACTTTGATCATTACTTCCATGATTGTAAATGTAATTGTTGCCGTCAGTCGTCCGCTTGATAGACATAATGAAAGACTTGCGTTTGGCTCAATATTATGCGAAAGGAATATGCCGTCTTGCGGTCATTTTTTTCTTCGCAACATGCAAAGCAATTCCTACTCGCAGAAAACAAGTTATTGGCACTTTACAATACCAGGAGTAGCAATACTTCTTAGAAGCAATTACTTTCACGGCTCGTAGCACCACCAGCTGAACCCTTGAAATTGGTGTGCAATTTCTCTTGGTACCAACGCCCGCGAGCTCTCTTATTCTGGATTTCGCTTCTCTTACATGGTGCCTTTCCATTGACTGTGTGCCTGATGATATCAGCGTATAACAATTGGCATTCTTTGAAATGGTTGTTAGATTATGTCATTAGACGATGAGAATGAGACTAAACGATCACAGGAACGGGCAAGCGATTTCGTCACTTCGCCGTCATAAGTACAAACCAGTATAGTAACAAACAATTATGTAAGCGAAGGGAGATGAAAGATCACGGCAGTGTGTACTAATATGTAGGATATTGTAGTGGTGTGGCGAGATCGCAAGAATAAAACGACAATGTAGTAATACAAGTAACTATCTATGTTTTAAAGCCGAACTCTCTCGAAATGCACTTTGCATTGTAGTACAGCCGTAGCGTATATATGCACCAAAAGCTTGTTCGTCCGTCTGCCGAGCATACCAATCGCGAGTAATAGATTTAGTTCGTATGCGAAGGCATCTTGCGATGAAACGGTAAACTATTGGAATCTCGTTGTCAACTTAGCAGCTTATTTGCTGGAGTGTGCGACTAGCCTTTGATCCGAAAACCATAACACTGATGATCACTTACATCGCTAGATGATGGTAACAGGTCTTGAGAGTCGACACTAAGAAGACTGTCTCGTCACCGAAACGTATTCGTCTGTGTTGTCGTAATAGAAGCAGAGATCCAGCAGGCGGACCACTTCTGCGATGTGAGTATGGAGAGTGCGCAGTTCACAAACCCTCGCCAACTCATATTTCTTGTCCGACGATCATCACTTTTTGTACTAGTGCATGTACAAAGCAGTCTATCACATTGATCCACGATCATGGTTTGAACCACTACAACTTGTATAGATGACCGATAATACATATAGCACGCTGCCTCTCGCGGTGTCCTTTGCCGTGACAACATCGTAGCTTTGCCTCTAAAACATCGACGCCAGTCTCAGACCGAGATTTTTGGTTGTCGTCGGTGCCTATCTCCAATTTGTTGCCGTTTGTAGGAGGCGTGAACGCTCACGACTCGACGTGGTCGGTATGGAGAACTCTATGTAAAAGCTTCACGAATAGATGCAGACAAAACGAGATGGCGTGCCTACAATGCGGGACTCACGCGCGTTCGTTACAGAGGCCGTAACTGATCCAGTAAATATGACCGCATACCTACGCCCGTCACTTGTAAAGAAGGCGCCTGGAAAATCACACGATATCGCAATTCGACAGGATAAAGATTGACAATTCGACGTTCAGAGTGTCCCAAGGTATCATATCATCTACACGCTAGCAGACAAGTCTCTCCAGGATACATTTATCTCACTGACGAAGGTTTTGTGTCTGCCTCAGCGGAGATATTACTAGCGATATCAGTAAAATGAGATTCACAGCTTTCGTGACACTGGCGACAAGCTTGTCGATGGCGACTGTCCGAGCCGCGAAAGGCTTCACAGGGGCCACTCATCCGACTAAATCGGGTATCGAGATTTGGGTGGATCCAGCTACCCCAAGAGACCGTCAGACGTACGTAAGCTCCCGAGGCCGAAAATGGGACCTCGTCGTGAGCGACGAGTTCAATACCAAAAACCGCAGCTTTCGACCCGGTGATGACCATTTGTGGACCTCTCTCGACAAACCGGACGGTGTCAATGGGGCTTTGGAAATCTACTCGCATAATATGACGAGCACCAAGTGTGACGACGATGGAACGTGCTACTTTTATATTGAGTGTCAAGACGAAGTGAACGTCATCAAGGTGTATAATATGTACACGCACCCTCCAGGATACCAGAGCGCCTTCTTCTACTACCGAGCTGCTATGGTGCAGTCGTGGAACAAATTATGTTTCCAAGGAGGAATGCTCGAAGTACGAGCTCAACTGCCCGGAGCTGTCTCAAAAGCGTCTAAAAACCCCGATCTAGCACTTGGAGAATCTGGGGAAGTCAAGACAACCAAGTTTTATCCGACGTGGCCCGGTATCTGGATGATGGGGAACTTGGGCCGCGCTATTTTCTCGGCGTCGACGAATCGCATGTGGCCGTTTTCCTACGATAAGTGTGAGCCGGATGTATTCGATCCGAAGAACCAGCGTATCAATGCTTGTAACGACAATCCTGGCTACGGGTTGAACCCAAATCAAGGTCGTGGAGCTCCCGAGATTGATATACTTGAAGGTAGTGGGTTAGTCATCTCGTCGTCGCTTCAGATTGCTCCTGGAATGCCAAAAGACTTCCGCCTTTTTTCTCCTAACGATGACGGGGCCAACCAGGCCTGTGTGTACAAGTACAATTGTATCACGCCAGGTGCAAATATGATCGAAGTACCAACGTCTTACTACAAAAAGCAGCGCGGCCACAAGTCATGGTACCAAGGCCTTCGCTACGGGGCAAACAATCACTGTAAGCCAAATGCCAAGGCGAAACAGGACTACGATACTGTTGCCGCTTCTGTAAAGGCTGGTATTACAAAGAACACATGTAGTGTTGATACGTGTCCGGCTTCCGTTGATGTGAATGGTGACTTGGGGTTTATGGATGACTCGAAGACTTCTCACTGGGGAATCAACTCGAACGGAACGTGTCACAGTGTCATGAACTCGTACATGGGAGACTATCTTTGTGACCCGGATAACACCAACTTAAAGTGTACGAAACCTCGTGACCCTACTTCGCCAAAGTTCAATTCGATGAGTGAGTTTAACTACCAGATAGATGCTATTTCGTCAAACTGGCCAGTTCACTTGGGTGCCTACCTTGGCTACCTCAAGTACCAGTTGGAATGGGTCACGGGCGCAAACGGTTACGTTCGCTGGATGCTGGACGGACACCCGCTTTTCGAGGTGACTACCGAAGCGTTCTCAAATGTTCCACAAAGCAGCAAGAAGGACAACCCACAGAAGGTGATGCTTGAGGAGCCCATGTACCTGATCTTTAATGTAGCGCTGTCAAAGTCGTGGGGTACGACACCTCCGAACCCGGGCAAGGAATGCCGTGGTAACGGAAGCGACCCCGTGGCAAATGTAATCTGTGACTCGTTCCCGATGTATATGAAGATCGACTACATTCGTTTATACCAGGATCGAGGCGACGATCTCGACAAGGATAACTACATGCAAATTGGGTGTGATCCTTCCAGTCACCCTACTAAGAAATGGATTGACGGGCACATTGATGAGTTTGTGGACGACGATAACCCGTTGATGGAGGTGTCGGGCAAAGCCTTTTGTGGTAAGGATGATGACTGCACGATTGCTGGCAGTGTTGGCAGGGTGGCTCTGAAGACTGGAACTTGTGTCGATGGGCGATGCCAGTGCACGTATTCGACGTCGTGGGGTGGCCCACGTTGTACTACTGCTCTGGCGGGATCTACGAGTACTAGCGCAAGCAGTTATTCGCAACGAGCTTTCGGCCCACCCGCGAGTCTGTCTCTATCGATTGGCGTAATCAGCGTGTTTCTGTCAATCCTTTCGGTCTGCTTTTCCATGAAATCGATAAAGGAGGAGGATGCAGCCTTGACCAAGATGAATGCGTATACCAAGATGGCTAACAATAGCGACGATGGAAATGTCAGGAATTGCTCGATGAATAGGAACCATTCGATGAATCAGAGACCGAAGGACAACTACAGCCAGAACTTCGTTTGAGATACTTGGTAGATCACTCTCGATGTATGTTTACCGATAGGCGGACAATCACGACCGCTACGAACTGTAAGAAAAACTATTGCGTATCTCTATTTCACTTCATCAGAGATATCAGTAGTGCATTCGGCACACACATTTTCATCTCTTCACCGTTTGTACCTGCTGCATGCTTTCAGCGTAAACCTGTTGGTCGCTCAGCTATCTGGCTGCAACGCGCACAAGTAAAGAAAGCAATACCTTTCAAGTTCCTCATTTACTTGGTATACAAGAAAATTCTTTCGCAAAATTTAGGGGGAATGGCTTACGCTGTGGTGCGAGCTTTACTACTTTTGACGCAGTCTCGGAGCCCCAAACTCACTTCGGACAAGTGATCATGACCTATTGAACCTCAAAATGCCTTATTTGACTCTTCAAAATGCATGTGGCCGTTTTCTACGAAAAGCGCAGTGTACAGCCCTGACAATGACCACCACATCAGTGCTTGACGACGACCTGAAACCCGAAAATCAAGGTCGTGGAGCGTATATGAACATCAAATGCAGATGCCAAGAGTGCTGATGCCACCAATGCGACGACTCAAGACAGATGTCGTCGACGTATTGCCGGCGAGCCTTGAGCATGGACACAAGTTTTGGAATCAGCGTCTTTGTTATGGTGCAAAACAGCTAATGCGAGCAGGATGTCATGCCAAGCAGAGTTGTGTTACTGCGAACAAGTCCGTTACTCTGTAGCTGTCAGCTTCACGGAAACGTTTGCACAACAAATACGCGACCACCGTCCATGAATGTGGACGGGAATTGGCTTTCATCAACAACAAGGGCAGGCATGAACTCAATTTAAGCATCAACATGAGTAATACGTGATATCCTATCAGTAACTTGTAATTGGACGTTCCTAACCACTCGAGCACGCTTATGTCAAACACCCATTACTATCTCATAGCAATGCCCTACCAATTTCGGCGACTGGCTTGACCATCTCCTTATGGAATGGGTCACGGGCAAGCAGGGCTACTTGTGTTGAATGCTGACAGGATTACAATCTTTGAGGTCACGACCAACTCGTTCTCGGACATCCCTCGATCTTCGGAGAAGAACAACCCTGCTGGAAGAACTCATGTACGTGATATCAAACACGGTGCTCTTGCGTTCGTGGAAAGTTACGCATATATATTGAGTAACGGAAGTGACGATGCTGGCAAACCAGTTGTAATATACACTAAGATCGACTACTTCATTTGTACCAGATGTGACGACGACCTCTATACTGGCAGCTGTGATCCGGAAGAACCGCTTAACTAAATCAAGGGCCACAATGACGAGATTTTAGATGGCAATAACTCAGTAAGACAGTGCTTAGTTTCAAAAGACGAACGACGACTGCATCATTGACGGCAGTGTGTGATTCGAAAGAAATGCAGAAATTGTGTCAAGTATCGCTGTGTGTGTCTCGTTGACATCGGGCTACGCTGCACTTGGGGACAGTCCGGAACATCAAAGAAGTCCAGTTGTTTGGCTAAGCGTATGGTTTAGTGATTGATATCCATGTGATATCTTGTGATTGAATGAATAATTGATGGGTCTTGTGAACTAATGAGCGCACGAACAGCAAATGCTCATTTGTAAGGGATACAATTCTCTTCCGTAAGGTCATTTAAAGTGTCTCTTGGCGAATCTTACCCGCGTGCGACGTAGACGTTGAACGATATTTAGTCATACTAGGGCCTAAGCTGCAACCTGCTAGCGAATATGACTTGTATATACTCGACCACCCGTCGTTTTCCAGTTCTCTGCTAGACAAAACCTTCACTGTACTTTTTCCTATCAAGATGAGAGCTCCACTTGTGCTAGCGTGGATGCTGATATTCACCACGACTTTTGCTGCAGGAAAGTACAGCTTGATGTCGTCCGAGTACCCGACCAAGTCTGGGCTAAGAAGTTGGGTGGACCCTGATACTCCTGTTAATCGAAAAACTTACACAACCTCTCGCGGACGACAATGGGAGCTCATTATGAGTGACGAGTTCAACGTTGCTGATCGAAGCTTTCGCCCGGGTGACGACCACATGTGGACATCGATCGAAAAACCTGACGGAGTCAACGGAGCTCTAGAGATCTACTCACACAACATGACGAGTACCAAGTGCGACGACGATGGTAACTGCTACTTTTACATCGAAGTAGCTAGTGATAACACCACTTTTTCCGTCTACAACATGTACAAGCATCCGCCAGGATACCAAAATACAACATTTTACTATCGTGCAGCTATGGTACAATCCTGGAACAAATTCTGCTATCAAGGAGGAATGCTCGAGGTTCGAGCACAATTACCCGGTGCAGTGTCAGCGGCTTCGGGTAACCCCGATCTGGCACGTGGGAATAATGAGCAAGTAACCGACACCTCATACTATCCGTCGTGGCCAGGTATCTGGATGATGGGGAACCTTGGTAGAGCTATCTTTTCTGCCTCGACAAACCGCATGTGGCCGTTTTCATACGATCGATGTGAGCCAGATATTTTTGACCCGAGCAACCAGCGCATTAGTGCTTGTGACAATGACCCAGGCTACGGATTGAATACCAACCAAGGACGTGGAGCTCCTGAAATCGATTTACTCGAAGGTGGTGGTTTGGCCATCTCGTCTTCGTTGCAAATCGCACCAGGTATGCCTAGCGAATTCCGTCTCTTCCCTCCAGACCCTGATGGAATTGACGCTACCAACCCGTATTGCGTATACGCGTACGACTGTAAGACGGAAGGAGCCAACTTGATTGATGTTCCAACGGCATACTACAAACAGAAACGAGGACACAAGTCTTGGTACCAAAGTCTTCGGTATAGTTCAAACAACCGGTGTGCCAAGAAGAGTGCCAATGTTCAGAGCTTCGCCACAGTTGACGCATCCGTTCGTCGTGGTATCACGGAAAACTCTTGTACCACAACGACATGCCCTGCTTCACTGGATCTCAATGGTAACATGGATCTAATTGATGGAACTGGCAGAAACCACTGGGGAATCAATTCCAACGGCACGTGCTTTCCAGTCATGAATTCGTACATGGGGGCCTACCTCTGCGATCCGGACAGTACAGACGCACGTTGTGCTAGTCCTCGTCCTACCACCACGGAAAAGTCAAACGCCATGGACCCGTTCAACTATCAAATGGATGCTATTTCGTCAAATTGGCCCGTCCACCTCGGAGTCTATACAGATTTTATTGTCTATCAGCTTGAATGGGTCACTGGTGGGAAGGGATACGTGCGCTGGATGCTGGACGGCAGCCCTCTGTTTGAAGTTGCGGCGGATACAGTTTCTAATGTGCCTCAGAATGGAAACAGCAGCAATCCGCAGAAGCTGATGCTCGAGGAACCCATGTCAGTCATTTTTAACGTAGCGCTGTCGAGCTCATGGGGTGCGACGCCTCCAAATGCTGGGAATGCCTGTCGTGGTGATGGCTCGGACAAGAAAGTGAACAAGATTTGCAACGAGTTTCCGATGTTTATGAAGATTGACTACATTCGGTTGTACCAGGACCAGGGTGACGATCTAGACACTGACAATTACATGCAGGTTGGCTGCGATCCTGCAAGCCACCCTACTAAGCAATGGATTCAGGGCCACATAAACGAATATCAAGATAATGACAACCCCGTGATGGAGGTGATTGGCAAAGCATTTTGCAAAACGAACAGCGACTGCACCGTCGGTGGCAATTATGCTCAAACAGGTCTAGTGACCGGGTTGTGTGTGGAGTCACGCTGCTCGTGTTTGCATCCCAAGTCGTGGAATGGTCCCCGTTGCACGATAGCTCAGTCCGAGTCCAAAGCTTCAACCCGAGTGTACGGTCCATCAATTATGTTGGCCGTTGGCGTTGCAGCGATCGTTGCCTTCGTTCTTTTCGTTTTGATGTGGAATGGTTGTAGGTCTACAGCAAAGAAGAACCAAGCACTTATCAAGGCCAGGACGATGTTTAAAACCAATTCTGATGCTCGAGTCGCAAATGCTGCGAGTATTTCCAATGTTTAATGAACAGATAAAACGACGTTATGTGAGACGAAAGTTTTCAAAAACAAAAGATTGAACGCTTTTAGCGATTTAATTTAGTTTTATCAAGCTCAAACAATTATATGCGTAGTTTAATGGTCTATGTACGCTAATAACTTCGTAGCCATCTCTCTTAAGTAACGAGAAAGATATATTACAAAGTAACATTTACATCCCAAATTATCCGTAATTAAAAAAACTACCCATTTTATAGTCCCATTAGTTCACTTCAAGATAATCTATACATCTCGTCATGGCGGCCTTTGGGACAATCGATCCGAATGTCTTTGCCGTATTACCCGTCGATATTCAAGACGAGCTACTTGCCATTTACAACAAGCATCCAAATACCTCTATAACCCGCTCTTTCTCGGCATCAAATGACGTTTTAAATGCTTGGAACTGCCGTGTCTGCACATTTCAGAATCATCCGGAGCTTTTGGAATGTGAAATGTGCGGTATTTTAAACGTCCCTCTACAAATTAATAATCTGGACACCGAAGTCAAGTCGGAACAAAGTTTAGGATCAAAATTAGGACGAACTTTACGTCAATTGGGCGTGTCATCCACCTCCGGTACTTTTAGTTTCTCACCAAAACGAGACAATGCCGCTGAAGATTTATTGGTAACAGCTACAGGTACATTACAACTAGTCAAAAAAGCTTGGACAAAACGACGATCTAGGACCAATTCCACTCTGGCTGGGAAGCCGTCCTTCCAAGCCATGCAGGGGCTTACAGAATTGCAAAAAGACCTGACACACAAGCTTGTGGCTGGAGACGAGTGGCTTGAGACGTCTTTGGAAAGACTATGGAGAGTTATAGGAGACAGAGAAGAGACTCAAGTGTTTGAAAGAAGTAGAGTGGATTGGGTGGCATTGGGATTCCAGAATGCCAGTCCAGAGACGGACTTTAGAGGAGGCGGGGTGCTGGCGTTAAAGTGTTTGCTTTACGCCTTTGAGGCACATCCGACAGAGATGAGAGCGATTCACATGGAACAGACGCCAGATTCACAAGATGGCAATCATAAAAAGAGATGGTATCCGGTGTGTGTAGCAGGAATCAACTTGACATGTCTGTTAGCTGGGCTATTGCAACTTGGAGATGGCCAGTTTTTGGAAAGAAAAGAAGTCTTTTGGCACCTTTTTGAAGAACCTGCAGCGTTTTACGAACTCTTCTTCTTGGGTAAGTATGGCACTATTTTGACGCAGATTTGTATGACTCATATGAGTATTCACTCTATTGCATTCCAGCATTTGTCAAAATGGACGCGATTTGGCACCGCCTGAATGCGACTTACATGGAGTTCGGTGGTAAGTTTGGGACCATCATTGCCAATTTGTACTTGCATCAACAATTAACATTATTTATCCTGCCTGTGTAGTGGTGCTGAAAGTAACACGGAAAGCTGTAATCTTCATGCTGAATCAAGCTCCAGCTACATTGACGGATCTACGTGAAGCTAGTGATCAGGCATTCTTGGACCGCTTCGTAGGTAGTCTGTCAGTGCATTCGCTTGCTAAATGGGACGGAGCCGACTGTCTGGATCCAGATCATGCACTTGAGACGGAAGATAACCTTGTATTAGCGAAGACGCGTGCTACAACTTTCTAGAAGCGACGCGTTTTTTGGTCCCTATCCTAAACAGACTCTAATATAACGAGCGTGAATTCTAGTCACTAGAATATTGTAGGTTAAAAAGTGTCATACGAAGGGAGATGGAACTAACTTTTCGTCAGTATTTTGAATAACCAAATCAAGTGTCAAGGTTATGACAGCTTATTGTACGTACGACTGTGTTGTGTCACGCTTGTTTATCAGACAAGTACAGCTAAATTACAACTAAAGTCAAGCACTACCCGATTAACTCAATGTCGTGTAATGCTTCGATTTACCGACTGCTTATGAGACTCTAGGAAGGATTACACAACTTACTTTTAACCAGTACTTGGCGAATCAGCTAACGTTCATATATAGAAAGAGGTAAAATTTCTCTTAAGCTCAGCTCGCGTGACACTTCTGTGGTCCTCGTTTACTGAAACGCTTTGGCCAATTCACTCTGTGCGTTAGTTCTCTGAACCATAAGCTATCGCTAGTAGACTATTAGGTCCCCCCTAGTTCCCTAGACAGGGTGACTTCTTAGTCGTTCAATTAGTTCCTTAGAACTAAAAGGCTTTTAGCCTCAACTTTATTTAGTTCTATAGAACTAAAAGGCTTTGAGCCTTAAAAGTCTTCCTCTGACTAAAGGAGCTGTGTAGTTCCGCTACACTTGGTAGCACTGTAGTCAATCCTACACCTGAGTCTTTTAAAGACTGACCCTCTGTGAGGATGGAGAGTAAAAATTACCTTTCTGAATGCAACGATTCGCACTAGATCTATAGTCGGCGTTTGTTGGGCCCGACCAAATCGAGGCTCTATTGACCCAGGGCCCGGAGGTCCTCAATGGTCGACTTGAGGCCCTCATGCGTTATGAGGCAACGCTGCTCTAGAAGATACACGATCACGGAGCGTCAGCTGCACTAACGCAATACATCTCAGTACCTAAACGTCAAGCCTTTGAGGAGAAGGAGGGAGAAAATCTTCTCCTCTCGATCCAAGAGGTTGAAATGGCAATGGATGCCGCCATGCTCGCGTCAGATAAGCAACGAGTTGGCTTGGCCATTTTTAAGATTGGTGGAAGAGCTAGAGAATGGGCTCTCACGAGCAATGTATCTGTAAACGCCGCATTTCTCAGGTGGAATATGCTTCAAAAGCAATCAACTTGCGTGTTTGCAGGCTTATCGTGTGTGCTCACGCTTCTTAGCTGCCCGACAGGGTAAGAAAAAATTGTCGGACTATGTCCAAGAGCTGAGAGCTCTCATTGCTGCTATGCAGAAGGACCTTCTTGCAGAGGAAGTCCGAGTAACCATTTTTATGAAAGGACTTCGTACTGGGGTCGCCAGGACAGAAGTTTTTCGTGTCCATCCTTCGACTTTCGAAGAGGCAGTGAGCATAGCGTTTAACGCTGAGTTCAGTTTCAAATCTGCTCGCTCTAGTCTACCATAGTACAATTTAAATGCCTCTAACAGGGCTGAACCCATGGACCTCATTCATGCTGAAGGGGAAGAAGCTGAGCTTTAAGCTGCAGATCAACAAGGTTAACATCCGTGGATGTTATATGTGCGGAAGCACTAGGCACCTCCGCCCTAGCTATCCGGTGCTAAAGAAACGTTAGAATCTTCTGAGTCGTAACTCTTCTCCTAGACAAGAGGCGAGCACGGCAGGGGAAAACGTCAGCTCCCAGTAGGCGCATGGCGCCCTACTGGGAAAGAATTAAGCTCTCTGGAGCTTTAGAAGGTAGGTGTAAACAGGGGTTAGTGTGGTGGAGTGGATTCTCAAACAACGTAGGAGATCCACAAACACACACAGCGCCGGACTGCCGACTTACGGAGGGGGTACCCCGATACCGTGTCGTATTGGCCTTGGGTCTCACCTTGTGTACCCGTCGGCTTGGCTGGTCTTGCTCCTCGGTTGACGCAGAAGACTTAAAGACTTGGTCTTTGTATAGGACTTGGACTTGGTGGTCCCCGAGTGGATATACTTCACTTGGGACCGGGTTTCTTGGGCTCAATCGACTTAGTCGAGAGCGATGCACCTGGTACTATGTACCCCTTTGGTGGCTGACTGTTCTTGGTCCTTGGACCCCTTTGTGTTCTTCCCCGTAGGGAAACCGCTTCCTGTAGCGGGTCGTAGAGTGTTGACACTTACTTGACACCTCAGGCCAACTATCCTGAGGTTCAACTTGCGTTGCTTGAGCCGTCTAACACCTGCTGGACGTCGGGGGGGCCAAAGGGTATCCCGCCCGGAAGAGGTGAAGCGACGGAGAAGCTTAGGGGGGGGCGCTTAAAGCTGCCACGTGTAATGCAAATTCGAGTGTGTTTATTTACCTTATACTTTGTATGCTTTTTCTTGCCTAACCCTAACCCTTTGATCTGCATAGTGCCACGTGTCGACTCTTGAAGGAAGAACTGGCTCCTTGGTACCTGTACTTTCTGTAATCTTCGATATTCTGTGTACCGATTCTGCACCCTCGGGCATTAGGCCCCTGGGCCCCTGTACCCCTGGGTCCCTGTACCCCTGGGCCCCTGGGTCCCCGGAACCTGTTTCCGGGACCTGGGGCCTGTGCTGACTCCGCACGTATGGGTCCTTATATTCTTAATACGGCGGGGCCTGGTGTGTGGTTGTAAATCCGCGAGGCCGGGTCGTGGTCACTCCCTCGGGGAAGTGACCAGAAGTTCTCTTGCTCTTCGTTCCATCTCCCTTAAACTCCAACTTTCCCTGGCACTTCACCACAGCTGTCCCCTGCGCGCTGGTCTTTCGAACTGCGGTAAGACCACGTGCACCCTTGTCCAAACTCCTCGAATTAACAGTAAGTGATCCTACGTCGCTTGGGTGGTTGCGTTCACCAACTCACACGTCTTGTATCCGTTAGTGACTTCTCGTAATCTTTCCACCGGGTCTCAAGCACCTGACCGTTGGTCTTTTTCGGCACCTCCTGGACCTGACCCTGACGAGGTCGCCCCGACCGTGGACCTTATTGGGGAGCCCCCCAATTATCTGGAGGTCTCTCAAGCTTGGGAAGTTTTACGTGGCGCGGTGGAGCGGGCCCAGGCCATGGAGACCCTCGCTGAGGAACACAGGGTCCTCCAACGGGCCTATCAGATGGAACATCGCCGGACCGCGGAATTACAGCGTCGCGTAGACAACCTCACGGAATTCGAGATGACCCATGCGCCCCGGATACAGTCTTGGGTCCGGAATCTGGTCCACGAGCATGAAGCGGACCAGCTGGCCATCGCCGGGTACCGGGATGCACTCGCCCAACGGGTGGACAATTCTCGGGAAGTGGAAGAATCCCGATCCCAGATCAAGTACTGGAAGGACCAGTACAACGAGGCTGTCGCAACTTCTTCGGCTGAGATTCGGTCGCTGGAGTCCAAGTTGGACGCACTTCGCAGTCCTCAAGAACTGTCCAAGCAAGTGTTGGTACTCCAGAAGGAGGTGGCCAACTACAAGAGCCGCGTGAAGACCCTCCTCCGGGAACGTGACCAGTTGCAGAAGCAGCTAACGGTTGCTCGAGGCATGGCGGCAAAATCGACCCCAGCCACGACCAAAGCCCGAAGTTCCAGAACGACGAAAAGGTCACGTTCGCCTTCATCCAAGGCTCGGTCGCCCCTTAAGCCGAAGAAGCGAAAAACCAATCGTGCCCCGGGGTCATCTGAGGCCGAGGATAGCAGTAGCGACGACTCGATGTTCGCCGCCATGGCCAGGTCGCGGGCTTCCAGTCGTCGCTCCGGCCCTGTACCCTCTACGTCAGATGTCGGCCCCGAGGTCATAGACCTATCGACTAAGGCCAAGTCCAAAGTTCCCACTCCACCTTCAAGGCCCCCATCCCCTCGCACTTCCCACGCAGCGCCTCGGGCGTCAAAGAACAAGAAAGCTCGAACGACGTACTCCGACGAGTTCTTGGAGATGTTTGGACCAGACTCTGAAACTGAGAGTGACGAGTCTAGCCATGCTAAGCGTAAGCCACCAGCCAAAAGTTCCCGCCGCAAGGGCCCCGCCGGCAAGGGTCCAGTACCGCCCAAGGGTTCTAGCGGCAAGGGTCCAGTACCACCCAAGGGTTCCAGCGGCAAGAGTTCTGCACCACCATCCAAGGGTTCCAGCGGCAAGGGTCCAGCACCATCCTCCAAGGGTTCCAGCGGCAAGGGTCCAGTACCACCCAAGGGTTCCAGCGGCAAGAATTCTGCACCACCATCTAAGGGTTCCAGCCGCAAGGGTCTGGTACCAACACCTGAGGGTCCTGCCAGCCAGGGTCCCACTCATGATGATTTCCCCGACCGTAACATCCACGGCTCTTCCCTTCCTGGTTATGCGACACCCAGCACGTTCGCCGCGGAAGATGTTGCCCCCTGGTCGATTTCCCAGGTAGGGGCCCTCGTTATCACCCAGCTGACGCCAGAGGATCTTTGGTCCAAGTTATCGCTTCCACTATCTTGGGTGGGTGCTTCTGAAAACCAGAAGCCCCAAAGGCCTCCAATCTGGAGCGAAGCCCTCATGAAGGACTCTCAACTTCAGCTTCTGATGGACTCCTGTCCTTGGGCCCAGGGGGTCGTGACCGTAACCCCTATTTCTTTTCCAGTGTCCGGCTGGTTCAGTGACCTCGTGAAGCTCCATGATACGTACGTCGATGCGTCACGCCAGAGTCTATGGGAAGACCGACACCGACTTCCTCTTTTCTCCGAGCTCCGTACAAAGAGCCAATACGCCTCTCGGCTGTCCAATGCGAGGAAGAAACGGCGGGCCAAGGCGGTGAGGGCTTGGATGGACATACTTGAGAAGGTCCTGGAAGGGATGAAGGCCGGTCACTGTGACCTCGACATTCTTCTTGACCCCTATTTCCAGCCCATGATCCCGACCCGTCAGCTGACCGTCTGGTACCCAATCGTCACCACGGAGGATCCTCAGTTGGACTTGTTGAGGGCTTTGCATACCGCAGACGACACTGACCCCTGGCGCGTGTTCTATCGCAAGAACATTAAGGAACACCCCGCCTTCCAGGTCCCTCGTCTCTC